AGAATAATCGAGCCAAGTTCCGAGAGCATGAGCCATTCGAAGAAACCCCGAGCCGTTGTCGAGTCATTACCATGCACGAGATCCGAGAGTCCATTCCGCCTAGCGAACATGTTCGCCACCTAGCGAGTGTGCACAAGACTCACAAGATAAGTCTGCCTAGCGAATGTGTTTGCCGCATAGCGAGTGTGCACAAGACTCATACCAGTCCGCCTAGCGAACGCGTTCGCCGCCTAGCAAACGCGTTCGCCGCCTAGCGAGTGTGCACGAGACCACAAGGCCAGTTCGCCTAGCAAACTAGTTCGCTACCTAGTGAGTGCTAAATTATTAAATGTGTGTATTGTAGTGTGTGTTTGTAGTGTAACTATAAATAGACTTGTGGCTTTGTAATTTTGGGACATCACCCTCATTCCTCAACTTTTAAGTTGGGAAATCCTCTCCATTTTTTTTTCTTTTTATCCTTTGGTTAGGGGCTTTATTACTCGTTTTTTCCGGCGACATCATTTTATTTCAAGTTTCGAACTTTTCCATGTGGTGTTCTTCACGCATGCATTAGGAGAGTGGGTAATTAGCTTTAATCCTCATTACTCCAATTTTGCCCGTTTTTGCTTATGATGTGTTTCAATGTGAATTTAGTTTTGCTTGTTGATTGGAGGAATGTTTGATTCTTGTTGTTTGTCGACGTGTGTTAGGGATTAGTTTGTGCTTATATTGTTTAAAGGTTGCGACTTTGTTTAAAAGTATAGTTATTAGTAGAAAGCTCGATTTAATCACCTAGGATCACTTGGCAATGTTGATGTCCCTCAGTTCTTTTTGTGTTTATTCGAGTGATAGAGACCCCGATTGACCTAAAACTTTCATCTTTGTTTTTAAGTTTTCATTTGCTTTCGATTTTCAGTTGCGAGTAGTGTTTAATTCAATCCCTCCCCAAATTGCGAGTAGCATGTTTAGGACCTTTTCGGTTTTGTGATTAGGCGACTAGATAGTGAACGAAGCTCCGAAGAGCCTTCCTTTTAGAACGACCCGAGGCCGGGTAACTCAGTTACCAATACCCACAAAATCTTACTAAACAGAACGCTAGTAAGAACATGACAAGTAGGGATGAGGACGTAGTGAAGTGCATCTTAAACAAAGTGACAATCTACCTCAATATGCTTGGTGCGCTCATGAAAGACAAGATTCGCGCCAATATGCAAGGTAGACTAATCATCACATAAAAGGTGCATAGGCTGAGAATGAGACACGCCAAGGCTAGACAATAAACCCCGCAACCACTTCAGTTCACAAAAAAGTGGTTGCCATAGCACGGTATTCGGTTTCAGTAGAGGAGCGTGCAACCGTATGCCGTTTCTTAGTACGCCAATAGACAAGAGATTGACCCAACTGAATAAACCACCCTGTAAGAGAGCGAAGAGTGAGAGGACAAGTTGCTCAACCTGAGTCACACTAACAATAAAATTGAAGATCACACCAACAATTCGTCGGAAATCTAGTATTCTTGGTATCGGTCGCTCGTCTGGGCTCGGTCGGGTTCATCGTCACGACTAGAGATCGGAGGTCGGAGCTCAAG